TGGTGCCTCCGTCAGCCTTTGTCAGTTATACGAGGATGGGCATGTGGCTTCACAGATTGTCTCAAGGTCGAAACGGGCGAGGAATCAACTTCGGCGATTCGGATCCGAATAAAGAAAAGATAAAGAACAGTTTAAAAAAAAATGAGGCAAGCGCAGTTAAGAAGTAGTTTCTGGTCCGAGCGACGAGAAGGCACTGCCGTTCTCGCACTTACAGTGTCTTCAAACGAATTGGGACTAACTATCTGTGAAAGTTCCGACCCTGCCGACGGACGGGAGATGGCGCGGTCGCTCCGTCTCGCTCGCACTCGCTCCGCGCCGTGCGGCGCGAGGGGGACGGAGCGGCGAAGCGTTTCGCGTGTCCCTCTATTATTTAGACGACGCCCTCTGCGACCTGGGCGTCTTTTTGTCCTGTCCACCTGCAGACACAGGGGACGGCGCAAACAGCACGCGTGGGCTGGAGCCGGGGGGCAGTCCCCTCTGACAGAAGGGGAGAGGGGAGAGGGGAGAGAGAGAGAGAGAGAAGGGGAGGAGGAGGAAAAGAGAGAGAGAGAGAGAGAGAGAGAGAGAGAGAGAGGAGGTCGTTTTGCAGGAACCTGTTGTTCCTCAAACTGAAAAGGCTGTTATGTTGGTACTACGTGGGCCGCTGGTCCGCTGGGCTCGCCCAGCCGAAAATTCCGGCCCTGATTCCGGCCGGAAATTTTTAGTTCCGGCCGGAACTTAGCCTTTTTTCCCGGGCCCGGGGGGGCTTTTTTACGGCCGGATTTCTCGGTCCGGCCGGACATTTTGAAGTCCGGTCGGAACTTTTTGTTCCGGCCGGAACTTTTGAAAATCTCCGGCCGGAGCCTCAGATTCCGGCCGGACCCGAGCCACCGCCCCGAAGGTAGGCACAATTGTATGACAATTGGGTAGGCAACCCGCTCCACTTTTTGGGTCATTTTGCGAACGGATGGTCCTACGGGTATGGCGATGGTACCAATCGACTCAGAATCGAAAATTGACCTTCCCACCATACCTTCGACACTGTCCCATGGTCTTTGTGGCCAGAGTGACTGATGTCTGCTCCCGGGCCCGGGCTCCGCGTCCCGGCCGGACACCACCGGACTCCGGCCGGACACCACCGGACTCCGGCCGGACACCACCGGACTCCGGCCGGACAGCTCGCCGGCCGGAGTCCGGTGGTGTCCGGCCGGAAATTTACCCAAAATACGGCCGGAGTCATAACGGAGTCCGGCCCGGACTATTTTCCGGCCGGAGGGTGGCCGGAATTTTCGGCTGGGCGAGGACACTTCAGCCCGAGGGAAGGGGGATGCACAGTGGGCCCGAAGACCGGCGGACGCGGCTGAAACTCTGGACGCGTTTTGAGCTCCAGAGTCGCTAAATGGGACTCGAACCGAGCGTGTGACCCGACCAATGGATTCCTCGTCCGGAGAGCAATCCATTGGTGTGGTCACACGTTCGGTTCGTGTCCCATTTAGCGGCTCTGGAGCTCAAAACGCGTCTGGAGTTTTGGCCGCCTCCACCGGCCTTCTGGCCCACTGTGGGGTGGTCGTCCCACTCGGCCCCACCTCACACTCAGGGTGTCGGCCCGAGGCCGCCCCAGCCAGGCCGTGCCTCAGCCGGGCGGTATCGCATTCCCCGCTCATACCGCCCCCCCCCCCTCCTCGGGCAGAGCCGTCCCGAACAGCGCCCGGTCGCAGTCTCTCTCGCACCCCCGCGGAGCGCGCCGCGAGTGCGAGAGAGACGGAGTGCCGTTCGGACTCAGCCCGCAGACGGTCGGAGAAGGGGGCAGTGGTCTCCATAGCCTGCATTTTTAGCCCGCCCCTCCCCTGCCAACGCGGAACCGCCTTCCTTGCATCCCTGACCTCAAACTCCGCAGCATTCCATCGCACCCCAGTGGTCCCCCCACCCCCCGCCAGCCCCCCCGCATTCCACGACCCGCAGAGTAACCAAACCAATTCCCGACCACTTTTTTTCCATGTTAGTCCCTCTTTATTTTATCATTGCGTGCGGGCCCGCGCGTCCGCCTCCTCGTCCAGTCGGGACGCGACAACGCGAGAGATTGTTGGCACACTGGTGAAACAAAGGCATAAAAATTATGCCCTTTAAGGGCGTAAACGATTTACGCCCTTAAAGGGCATAAATCGTTAATGCCTTTGGGAAGGGCATTAAAAATTTTTTTGAAATTCCTATACCATTTACGCCCTTCCCAAGGGCATAAAACGATTTATGCCCCTGGAAGGGCGTAAAAGAGTATTTATGCCCTTAAGGGCGTAATTTTTATGCCTTTGTTTTACCAGTGCACCGCTTTTGCTGCTGGCGGTGCCGGAGGTCACCTCGACGGTCACGAGGTCGCGCGCACGTCGTGTTTCCACCTTTAAAAAAAAATTTTAAAAAATTAAAAAAAAAAATTTAAAAAAAAAATTTAAAAAAAAAATTCCTGTCTCTCCGCCGTGCGGATCTCCATTTAGTCTTGACGCACCAATCATCTCCTCATTTCCATAGACCTGCCGGCCAAACTTTCCGCAGCTAATTTATGCAGGAAATAGCAGTGTAAGCCTACCCCCACCCCCACACCGTCACGTGTTGCGCGGCTGGGACTAAGACAGACAGACGGACAGACGGACAGACAGACAGACAGACAGACAGACAGACAGACAGACAGACAGACAGACAGACAGACGGACAGACAGACAGACAGACGACAGACAGACAGACAGACAGACAGAAAAAGACGGACAGACAGACAGACAGACAGAGACAAAGACAGACAGACAGACAGACAGACAGACAGACAGACAGACGGACAGACAGACAGACAGACAGACGGACAGACAGACAGACAGACGGACAGACGGAAACACGCTCACGCGCACAGTGTAGGCGCAGCCACGAGACGCGGACGGGTCGTCGAGGTGTCCGCCGGCGGTCGGACGGACGGACAGACCGACCGACGGACGGACGGGCAGAAAACAAGTTAGCCAGAGCCAAAGCAGAGGGCGCCGGACGCAGAAAATTCGTTTTAATGCAATTAAGGGTGCTGGCCGTGGGGAGGGGGAGGGGGAGGGGGGAGAATGAGATGAACGTGCAGCCAAGACGCCGCCAGCCCGCGCGCCTTGTTGGTGGATTAAAAAGGATCCGGTGCGGCGGAGGGGGGGGGGAGGGGGAGAGAGACCGCCAGGTAGCGCGGGGACGCCGCACAATTTCTCAACGACCGCAGATTTAAAAAAAAAACGGAACTTGCTGAAAATGGGACTGACGCAAAGAGTCTGTGAGTCCGGAGGCGGGGGCAGTTACCGGGCCCGAACCGGCATAAGATCAGTTGTGGTCTAGCCTTTCAAGTCAAAGTGAAGGAGCGCCTGTGGCGCGCAGGGTAGGCAGTCCCGCCGCACACCGGTGGCCGACTGCGGCCTATGCCGCGCTTCGCAGGCGGCCTCGCGGTGGAGATTGCCTGCTCAGCGAGAGGGAGGGGGAGGGGGCGGGGCGTCGGCACTGATGGCTGGACGGGGCGGCGAAAGTGGCGTCGTCTGCGTCGCACCGCCACTGCAGCGAGTGTGTGTGTGTGTGTGTGTGTGTGTGTGTGTGTGAGTGCGCGCGCGAGGCATCCCCACACAAGGAATAGCAGAGGAGCCGCCGCACCTCGCGCCGCCACACCTCGCCTTGCCGCCCTGACACGCCGGCGGCGCCGGTGTCACCGGGACTCGGTATAGCTCACCCGCCTGCGGCTGCGAGAAAAAGACCAAAAAAAAAACAACAACAACAACCCAGCCGCCCGGACCTTCGCGCCATCAATCGGCCAGCGACGCATGAGAAAAACTTTTTCAAAAGTAAATCTTTTCCCACGCAGGTCATTTTTGTTTTTGTTTTTTCTCACTTTTTTCTATGTTTACGATTAAGTAGGATTCTCCGGTCAGCTTGCGGAGCTAAAATTCCTCGCACACGGTGTTGCCTTTGGTGTTGCCCTCGGTGTTGCCCTCGACAACGCGGTGCCCGCCGTACGGGGGGAGTCCGAGGTAACGTGAGTTTATGATTATTGCGTTAACTCCGCAGTCCTCTTTCCTTGACTCGCGAACCGCGGCACGCGTAGTGCAGCACTTTCAGTTTGGCCTAGTTACTCCTTGGCAGTGCACACACCTTCGCCCCTCACCTGCCTCTCTCTCTCTCTCTCTCTCTCTCTTCTCTCGCCGCTCTCTCTCTCTCTCTCTCTCTCTCTCTCTCTCTCTCTCTCTCTCTCTCTCTCTCTCTCTCTCTCTCTCTCTCTCTGTATGAATGCCTGTCTGCCTGTATATCTCGATCACTGTCATATTCAATGCTTTATTTTCTCCTCTGGTCTGGAATTCTGAGTCTGCATGCCCGCATACCTGTCCGTGCGACTGTTTATTTGTTTCCTTCTGTCTGTCTGTCTGTCTGTCTGTCCGTCCGTACGTCCGTCTGTCTGTCTGTCTGTCTGTCTGTCTGTCCGGCCCACCTCCGCGGTATCCGAATGGAAGGCATCCCGTAATG